AACACTACAGTCCGCGCCAGGGTCTACGGCGACCTTTCGGATGGTCTTCTAACGTCAGAGTCGTCCGATCTCCGCATTTTCGTTCGATTTCATCGTGGACTTCAGCATGGAGTGTTCCCTTAGGGAATCTTAAGATGCAGGCGCTGTGATCCTGCCTGATGATAGGATAGTTGGTCGTGATTATGCAGGTGATATCGTATTGCGTTTTGGCGAGCTTGCGGCGGCACAATCAACCATGAATAGCCTCTCTAGAGTGGTCCCGTGAGTTGATATGCGCTTCGCACCTTCAAAGTGCAAAGTGCTGCTGCAGGACCACCAGCCACTTTATGATTCGTTGATTAATTCATTTATCTTGGCAGCTGCATCAGCAACGATGGGCGCATAGAAACTGACGTCAGCTCACGCATTGAAAAGGCCAGAGCTGCCTTCTTGAACCTGCGTCATCTTTGGCGACAGAAGGGAATTTCCCTTCGTCTGAAAGGCCGTGTATACAAGGCCACAGTGAGGGCCGTTCTGCTCTATGGGAGTGAAACTTGGCCCCTTCAATCTGAAGATATGAGGCGCCTTCAAGTCTTTGATCATCATTATCTGCGAAGCATTGCTGGTGTCGGATGACACCAGCGTGTCCGCAACGATGATGTGCGTAGGCGAGTACTAGGTGGTGATAATCATGCTAGCTCCCTAGAACAACAGATAGCACTGAATAAGTTGCGTTGGCTTGGGCACGTGCTACGTATGCCTGGTCACCGCTTACCTAGGAGGGTCTGGTTTAGTCTGTCATATGCAGGGTGGCGAAAGGCTCGAGGTGGACAGAAGTTGACTTGGTAGAGGGAAATAAAATCACTGAAGACTAAACTGGGTGCCGTTGGTCCTTCTCGCCTTCCGGGCTGGAGTCTATGTGACCCGCCCTGTGCTTGGCTCGAGACTTTACAGGACATGACTCGCAGTCGACACCAGTGGGTTTGGGGACGCCTACTGCGGGGCTCAACTTGAGTGCTGAAATGACCAGTGTTGAAACAAGATATGCAATTATTGGCTGTGCTGTAGAAAGGATACTTCTCCCCCAATGTTCGTAACATTTCATAGTGAATTTCGTTCGCGCACTCTATCTAAAAGACAAAAACTCCATGACGGGCCGTAACTTGAACGGCCTGAAATTTGCTTCTGTCTCTGTCATCATAACTTCTACCTAAATAGGTCATTTTGTTAGAATCACAAATGTCTGATATATCCACATCAAGATACTAAGATAGTAAAGACTCATATGCCGGTTGCACCAAGATATAAAAGTGGCCCACGTCACATATAAACGAGCTATCGGGACATCATCCATACTTCCATCCTGCGTAGAAGAATGAAAGAGCGATAAAACCAAAGGCGGTGAATTCCTATCGTTCTGGAATTCGATCAACAGTTCCCAACACAGATGTCTGAGAACACTCATGTGTTACTTGTTAAGTACAATTTCTAAACTATGTTACTCTTTCCAATGATCGTCGTAAGCGCCTGATCATCATGTTTGTGATATGCGTAAAACATTCGATCGGACACCACATGGAAAGCTAATATCGAGGGTACATTCCTTCGGTATAAATGGTAATTTATAGTCCTGGATATTATCGTACACTTCTGGTGGGCATCAGGCAGTCGAAATACTATGCAATACTTCCACAAATAAACAAGCCACAAGTCGCGTGATCCACTGAAGTGTTTTAGAACCTTCTCGTTGTTTGATGTGCACTAACGGTATATTGAATGTCATCAAACACGGCAAACCATATCTATTCGCCAATGACATCAAAATTGTTTGCGAGCTCAATTCGAGCAATATCATTAAGATCCTAGCTGACATAAAAACGAATCTGTACGAGCTGGAAACTGGGTGCAGCAATTGGAAAACCGGACTCTCATCCGAGAAGTGCAGCTCCATAAACTATCTGTGCAGTATTGTAATAAATTATTTGATGCTAAACGGTAAAACACTGTCCACCTCTTTCACAATTCGTGGTCTTGGGCTACACTATACCAGATCCTTCGATTTCGCCGGAAAGGTGCAGTATACTGTTGCAAAGGTTCGTAAACTAGGAGGGCTAATACAAAAATGCAGTGCATTGAATGAATCCTAAATCTACCATATAAAACTCGTACTTGTCCCCTATTAGTGCATTGCCTATTAATATACTCCAAATAGAGAAAAGTGACAGGACTGCAACAGAAAATATACAATGCTTCTTTACGAAGTGCCTAATGAGAAACTGGTGATCTTACTTACTATGACCGTTGATGTGAGATGAACACGGAATAACTATGGTTAAGGAGAGTAAAACTTAAGCTGAACTTCATGTTTGATATAATCCACAAACGCGTCTTTATCAGACATCGAGGTTGTACTTCAACCTTCCCTCAAGTACAGAATAATGAATAAACGTAACACGTTAAAAACCGGAAAAACACGATCACATTTCTTTCTTAATCGCTACGCAGTTATGTGGGACAAGTTACAGCAGAATATGAGAACCTGTGATTCAAAGGGTGTTTTTCGTATCCTAGTTAACGGAAAAATGACAGTGAGTAAAGTGAGCGACATGCTCAACACAGATGTGAGTACAACAGCGTTGTATGAGGAAGGACCAAGTACCATATAGCAAATAACAAAATTCTGACTCGACATCGACCCACCTCTATCACATTTTTTATTCATAAAATAACCTTTTTCCGCACTTATAACTGGCTTTTTGTCCGGAGGTATAAACGAACAAAGTACGGAGTGATTACCGAAACTCGTAGATATCACTCCCTACATACCTCGGCTGCTAAACATGGTTGCATGGTAACAACTCGTTAACACTTTCCTTATGAACGGATTGGACGCAAACCCTCCTTGACAATAAAATTGCAATTTGACAGGATAAGCCACACGGTCCGCATCTCGCACTGTCGAGATATAAACCATTCTGCTATTTTTATTTACTTGTGACTTTTCTTACGCTCCTGTGATGCTAAATATTGCTTTTTATTTCTAGGCTACAACCCAGGAACACAGAGCAAGTTCTATTATTGTTGTTACTGCACTCTTATTGCTACTTTGTCTGGAAGAGAGAAAAGCCAGGATCTCATTAGCACCCCTCGTAAATCTGCCGGGTTTTGAGTCTTCAACTCAGATACAAACCATGATATTCCTAATGGTACTTAGTCAAATAGGGTTGATTTTACAGCAGTAAGTCTCTCATATATCGAATTTTAAATAGCATGACTTCCTATCTCAGTGATTCCAAGAACATAAGCGCCGTAGGTATCCGACTAACATAACGCGGAGCGACCCATCATATTTCCAAAAAGGAATGGAAAATGGACTGAGAGGAAGTACCGAATCACACCAGAAAAGGTTGACACATTGTCGGAACAATTCAAGTGGAGATCGACTGCCTATATTTTCGAGTGTAGAACTCAAAACGTAGCGCAGTCAGCCAAAAGAAGACCCGAAGACGACTCAACAATGATAGCGAAACACCGCCCTTTTGATCAAAGACTGTCAGTCTGCTCAGATCTTTGATCATCCTGGCCTACATATCAGTGTTGGTGTTAAAAAAAGCACCTCCGACCGATTTCTGCGATTTTAATTGACCAAAATCCAGCCCCTTTACCGAAATGCAGTTGGAAGAATGTTCATGAGTCACCAGAAACGTTTTCGTAGTTAAAAAAGCAAAAGGAACATTCAAAGTGAACAGAGCTGCATAACTAACTAGTTAGAGCAATGTTCTTCATGCCTACTGTAGCTATTAAAATGATATCGAAGTTATCACTCTCTTGATCAGGTAGTTGGAATGAATATGGGACCAGAATGGCCCATAAGAACGACCGCAGGGATACAACAGCCAAGCGGAGTGGTGTGAGCAGCAAAACAGTTCGTTTTGCACGGCGTAGGTGAATTCTACGTGATGGTGGCCAGCTTGGTTCGTTAAATCAAAAAATAAGACTGAGAAGGTTTCATTAGTTCGAGGACGTATGACATATGCCCGCGTGCTACCAACCGGGGAGTTTTGTTTTACCTTATGAGTACAGGATAGTGCAAGGTTCGAATGAAAAACCATTGACGTAACCACGGGAAACGTTTCCAACTCCTATACAAAGTACAGTATTCAAAGTACAGTTTGTGCCGCATTTCCTGTGACATGGTAGAATACCGCTGCCGCTGGGTTGCTCCCTCTACTTTTCTACCTGCATTTGCTGTCCAAGGTGTACATGCCGCTAGACTGTTTGTAGCTTAAGTCTGAGCATAACGCGGGAAGTAAAAATCGCAAGCAAGATACTCGCTTAATACGACAGATCGTTACTCGTGGTCCTATTAAGCTTGATTATGAAGATCTAATTAATGTGTATACTGTAGCCCGTCAGCGTGGCACTGCAGCAAGTCAAGCGGTAAGTTATCATAGAGAGTAGCTTATATTGCGATCGTCGTTTCCTCTTTCGTCTTCTATGTTGCTGGAGTAGCAACCCATCGTGCGCTTTCACGCCCTCCATCTATCCAGCTCGCGCTCGGTCCCCTATCGTCAGTTGTGACGGTACCGCCCAGCTAGCCACGAGATGTGACACAAGCACATCGTTCATCCAGCTCCGACATTTACTAGGTTGTTTTCCAGCCACCTACGAAGTATCTTCTTTGCCTTTCAGCCCCCCTGGTCTAATACGACCCACGTACGCTCCGGACACAGAAGCCTTCTGAACTCTCAACCGGACGCATTACATGCTACTCTAGGTCATCCCCCTTCCTTCCTAATTCCGATTAGTATGGCCGTCTAATATCGATAATAGTTGCAGAACATCAATAAAAAGCACCACCGATGCTGTTGCCATGTGGCAGTACTGCTTTGCCACGCGGTCAGTCTAAAGGACAACTCATTGAAAGCATGGTAGAGAAGAGCTATTATCAGACAAATGTTCAAATTGTAGCTGATTAGACAAATAAGCGGTCACCTTTACAACTCTAGTAGTCAGAGGTTTTAGCCCGCTGAATAAACATGAAGTGTATAGGCAAGTAAAAGGACAAACAGCCTGATACACACCATGTCGCATGGAAGTCAACGAGGACCGGCTTTTCGTTATTTAGTACACGTTTCTGAAAATCTGCTTCATCTTGTATATTGGTAACGCCAACTTCTGAAACTTTTGAGCTCATGCGACGTAGCGTAACCTGAACATAATAGTTGAAGTACTAAGCCATCCCACCTGAACGCATAGGGGAAACACAGAGGCAGCTCTGGAAATTCTAAAATGTGCTCAATTAGATACGAAGTGATTACCTTGAGGATCCGAAAGCCAGCATCGCTGAAAAGCAGAATATATCACTGTGCAGCATAACAAAAAGAAGAGGAAAACAGGTCGACAAAATCAAGAATTTATTCCAAAGGTTCTACATCTGCGAATGTTATCCCTTTCTTGTTTTGCATTCGGGCGATCACTCCAGTCACATCAATGTAGCAATTGACGCAATTCTCAAGGCAAGTTCGGGTTTTCGAATCTAAAGATGCGCCCAGCTTTTCAACACATCTGTCCCAACAAATAGACGTTAGTTGATGACTAAGTTGTTGAAAACGTTGATTTTGCACCTCTTGTGCAACCTTTGTTTGAAACACTTGATCCATGAACCGAAAGGATACTAAAATAAGAAACCGAAACTTAAAGGAATGTTCAAAAACAAAATTAGGTTTTCATGATGGAACAATTGCATCCAGCGTAATTTATTTATAAAACATTGAAGAATAAGACCAGTGCGGAAAAATGCATGCATAATTGGTGGAAGCAACAAGTCCATCAGGAGAAATTAATCCGAATTCATTGGTTTATTGGTGTGTAGACAGCAGGAGGGGAAACCCTTGTCAGCTCCGTTACTTACAGTTCATTGCGAGGTTAACACTTTTGTTTGAGATGACGCGCCTCTAGGGATCATCGCCTTTGCAATAGGGACAGCAGGAACCCGCGGTACTCATCAGGTGGCAATCTAGCAGACGCTTAAAACGTTCCTCAGTCTGTGCATCAATTACGTTATCTGGCAAGGTGTTCCAATCGTTCTTTTTTTGTAAAGCTTCCGCTTGTGACCTCCTGTCGAGGTATCCACATTGAGTCGAAAGAGTCTTTGTAAGTCCGTCCCAAGTTCTCCCCTTAGGATCCGTCTGGTGTAAATAAGATCCCCTCGACGGAACAAATCAAGCTTCTGAAGTCGAAGAGGGTAGCTGAGGTCGTAAAGCTCGGAGAAGGATTTCGAGCCACACCTCTGAACAAGGCACATTTATGTTTCGAGAGGGGATAGACAGCTGGAGAACTTTACTCCAGAATTGAGCGAACATGTGAAATGAACAAGGTTCTAAAGATCTACGGCGAGATTCGTAAAGTAACTGTGGTTCGTCACATGGAGGGGTGCACTAATGATGGGCTGCAGCTTGTCTTTCCGTGCATGTAAGCCATTTTTATCTGGTTGATATCCAAGATAATCAGCAGGATCAACCAGAAAGGCACATTTGAAACACTTCAAACGTAACCAATTTTGGGACAACCAGTGCAGAACCATGTATAGGGTGTGCAGAAGCTTTCCTTCTGTATGGCACGTGATTAGTAAGTTATCCAGATATGCACAGATACTCCGTATATCCCGTACGACGTTTTTGATTATCCTTTGGAAAATCCCCGGAGTCGAATTCATTCGAAATAGTAGATTAGTGTATTCAAATAAGCCCATGTGCGTGCTTATCGCAATACATGAGAGAGGTCAAGCTTGGGAATAAGCGTGACTTAAATCAAGCTTAGGGAACTTGAGCCTACCGATAAAGTGACGCACAATTCTTCAATTTTAGGTGACGGATAACGGCCCATGATAGTGCAGTGGTTCACTGTTAGTTCGTAATCATCGCAAATCCGCACGCTGCTGTCTGGCTTAAGCAGGGGAACTATCGGTGCTGTCCATTCAGATCGTTGAACCGGTACGATTATGCCTTCTTTCTGGAGCCGCTTCAATTACTCCTCAACTTTTGAACATAAAGAACATGGTAATGTTCTGGCCTTGAAAAATGTTGGCGTACTAGCATCCGCTATGGGGATTTTGGCATTTAAGTTGTTGTCTTTCCCCAACTGGTGTTCGTTAAATACGTCTGCGTACCTCTGTAGGATCGATTCTATGGTGTCTCCCTCCATGGAATATATGGCATACAACATCTGCGGTAACTGTTTCATCCAATCACCACCCAGTAAATTGGCAGGCTCATGAGTTACAACATAAAGTATGTGCGATCTACCCTGGTGTTGAACTCGAAAGTGACACACAATACAATGAATCCCTTTTCAAACGAATTCCTGATGCTCCTGCCACCGCAGAGGATAATCAACGGTGCCCCATCTGCTGCATCGAGCAGGGTGGATAGGGGTTTGGGTACTACTGCTCAAGACTTTCCGTCTTCTTATTCCCCTCTTACGCTTTTTCACCCTTATGGTCCCGTTCCAACTTAACTTTTATCCCCCCTGTTTTCAACCCCCCAATTCTCGGCCCTCTCCCACCTTGCTTCAATAGTCGCTTGTCTTTTAGTTTCAACTCACAGGTGAACGCGGAGCGTCATTCCTGCACTGTCAACAGGCCCATGTCCAACCAAGCGGCCCATTCCAGTTCATCGGCTTCCATTTGGAGCCCTCGATCCTCCTTCAGACTGGCATGCCTCAATGTACACACATTGCTTCAGATCGGTCAACAGGCAGCACTTGCCTGAACACAAGACCCTCTCTATCGATACCCGCTGCTTATCGGAGACCTGCCTGCAAGACTCGAGCTCTATGTTCACTTTGCGATCCCATTCAGGTAACACCAGAAGTATTTTCTCACTGCGTCTATCCGGTGAAGATGCAGCTACGAGTACCGGCAAAGCCGGTGTTGGTATTGCCCTGAGTCACCGAGCTGAAGCTACTCTGATTGATTGGATTCCAATCAGTAGCCGGATGTGTGCGGTCCGATTGGCTAGCTCGTTCAAAGCTCCGAAGTTGCGCGGGGCTATAATAAATGTGTCAGCTGTACGCCGTAACGGCGCATCGCTGCCGCGTGGCCACCACCAGTCGCGTGCTGGCCGAGTATACCGCAAGGACGCCAACCTCTACGCGCGGGACTAATAAGTGTCCATTCGTCATCGCTGCCTACGAACCCATAAACTGTAGCGATGACTCAGTAAAAAATGACTTCTATCGCCAACTGAACGAGCTCCTTAGCCACAGAAGAAGTACGGACACTGTGGTTCTGGCGGGGGATCTGAACGCTCAAGTTGGAAAGTTGTCCACTGATGCAATGCATCTAAGCGGTCAGCACGGTGTAGGCTCTCGTGATGATAACGGTGAGCAGTTACTTCATTTGTGTGAAGATGCCCGCTTATTTCTTGCGAGAACTAACTTCCGACACAGCACCCGCCGGAGGGTGACTTGGCGCCCATCAGTCTTGGACGCAAATCGATCACATTGGAATCAGTTACCGCTGTAGAGGCTGCATCCAGAACTGTCGCTCGATTTGGAGCACATGTGTAGACACCGACCATGCACTTGTATGTGCTGACATGCGGATGCGTTTTGACAAACGCCCACAACGACGCTGTGAGCACATTGACACCAGCCAACTGACAAAGCCAGCTGTTCTGAATGCCTATCAAAGTACGCTGACATGAAAGTTGAGTAAGCGCTCACTGGAGACAATTGAAGCTTACTGATCTCATATTCACCAGACCTTGCTAGTAGCAAAAAAATCCTCATGTGGCAAGTCTACTAGGCAACATGGACATTGGGTCTCTTCGCAGTCTCTGGAACTTATCGATGCTCGCCGGCATATTCCGGCTGCAAGCGAACACAATGAAACTCGCAAAAAGCTCCGGGCAAAACTCCGTGCTAGCCTGAAGAGAGACCGCGAATCCTGGTGGTCTCATCGTGCATCGGAAATGGAAATGCCCGCTGCCCTTGGTAACCATCGAATGTCATTCCGTCTGATACGGGAAACGGGCAGCAGGAGACCTGGTGTTAGTGAAACCATTTGTGATTAGAGTGGACAACCTACCCACAACTTGTCAAAACGTTTAGAGCGTTGGGCTGAGCACTTTGAAAGGCAATTCGATCGGCCGGAATTGTTCGATTCCTCATCGGCCAGCGATCGCCCTGCTCCGTGGGCTGTGCCTTTGGATTCGCCCTCCCGCTCAGAAATCAAACGTGAGATAGGACTGTTGGAATTAAACAAAGCCACGGGACCAGATGATCTTCATCCAGCCCACTACAAATTCGGGGGCTCTGCTCTTGTTGATGATTTACATGAATTACTATGAAACTGTAGGAGCAGGAAACTGTCCCAACCGACTGGAGCCACTCCGTTATTGTTCCCATCTTCAAAGGAGACTCGCGCTCGGAATGCAGCAACCATAGAGGAATCTGTCTGGTTGCCATCGCCTCCAAATTACTTGCCTCTGTAATCCTTCACAGACTGACTGGCGCTCGTGAAAGCCAGATTCGTGAGGAGCAAGTCGGGTTTCGTCGGGGTCGTGGATGCATCGACCACATCTTCACCTTCCATCAGTTGTTGGAACACCGTTACACATATTGGCGGCCCACCGTTGTCGTGTTCCTCGACATCAAAGGTGCCTTCGATTCGGCTGATCGATGTGCCATTTGGAACTGTCTACTCTTGAAACGTGTGCCCGAGAAATACGTAAATATTATCCGAGCACTATACACGCGTAGCACGGGCAGAGTGAGGGCTTACGGCAAGCTGTTGCTGCCCTTTAATATCTCCAAAGGTGTGAGACAAGGATGCCCGTTGTCACCTTTCCTCTGCAACTCCGCTATTGACGAAGTCATGGAGATTGCCTTTACAGAACAAAACTTAGAAGGTGTGGAGCTACTCCCAAGAGAACGAGTTCTTGACTTGGAGTATACAGACGACATTGCCCTCGTCTGTGACAGCTCTCAGACGTGCCAACTTGCACTGGACAGATTAGCACTGGCTGTCAGCCGCTACGGGCTTTGCTTTGCACCACCGAAGTGCAAAGCTTTCCTCCAAGATTGGCAGGGATCGCCTCCTGCGCTGACGCTTGATGGCGATCAGCTAGAAGTCGTTCAAAAACTTAACTACCTGGGAAGTTGCACTAGCGCCCTTGGGATCGAAGATGAGATCACGTACCGTATAGCAGAAGCTCGAAGTGCTTTTGCTAACCTTCGCCACTTATGGCGCCGGAGCGATATCACTCTCGCCCGGAAGGGTATAGTGTACAATGCAGCGGTACGTTCGACCCTACTGTACGGTTGTGAAACCTGGCCCCTTAGATCAGCGGACATAAAGAGGCTAGTTACGTT